GCATTTTTTAAGACAGTTGACTGAGGTGCATGTTAAAACTTTTTGACCAAACCCTAATGTTTCTACACAAAATCTTTAAAGTGTAAAAATTACACTTAGAAAATGATGGAATGAGCCTTTATTGAGTTTTAAGGCCTCAGTTGGTCTGTATAGCGTAGTTATTCAATATGAAAAAGTAGACAATCTTTTGCTTAACTGTGTTTGATTTGTTCCAACTGTAAATGCAAAGATACAACCCCTGTCTGTAGACATAATTGAGTAGTCATTACTTGGAAAATAATAAAAAATTAGTTTGATCTTTATACATAAAAACACAATTAAGACAGTAGATTAAATGATTGGTAAATTAATACTGCAAATATTTCATTAGACGTTATAATAATCTACTACAGAGCCGCAGGGGCTTGCACAAGTAGTGTTATTTACAGATACTTATCTGTTGATCTGTTCTTTGCCATGACACTCTACTCACCTATCTCCACCATCTACTGCAGCAGCCTTTTTCTGCTGGCCTCAGATCTGTTGCAGTACATCGTAGCCTTCTGTTTTACTCTTATCAACATCAACACGCTCCTGGATGCGCCTTACAAACATCCACATTTCCACTGTGGCGTAGCTCTCTCAGAAATAAACAAAATAGGTCCACAGATAATGAATATTCCACATCTTATCAACTCTTCCAGGCCACCATGATCGTCTTTTTCCCTCCTAGCTTTTGGTTCTTTCATTTTGAGTGTCATTATGTTGCTTTCCTGCTGGTTGCGTTTGAGATAGGACTTGGAACAATGAAATGAAATGCATTGAGGAGAGGGTACAAATAGGCAGTGGTTACAAATGGAGTTTGGTCAGTGGCCGGAGATTCTTATTCAGAAGATAGACAGGACTTTGTTCACAAACTGGAGTTTGAAGTTTCAAAGGGGAGAATCACACAAGTGTTACATCAGGTCTCAGCAATCCTTTGACTTTTAGCCCCAGGGCAAGAGTTTGGGTGACTGATTATACGACAGCTATGTCTGTCCCATCATATTTCAACATGGCTGCCTTCATTTTTTAGCATGTGAAACAACAAAAAGTCAGTTGTACACTACTGGCAGTTGAAAAATAATATGGAATTGTTCTTGCCTAACTTAAATAATGATCTATTATTTTTTTTGTACTTAATAATAACAGCAAACAGTTATGCTTTTATGAGCCATAAATCCTTTTTTTCATTAACCTTCCTCTAGTGTTTACCTCTGGTGTTCCTCTTAAACGTGTAATAAATGGTCTGTGCCAACCATAACAATAGCGGAAGGTTAAAAAATCTGCAAAAAAATGTAAAAGCCAAAAAAGCAACTACCTAGGATATTTGTTATAGTTAGATGGTTAAAAAAACTCTCTTAGATGGTTACAAAACCTCTCTTCCATTAAACTGGTGCGGAAAAAAACAATAACAGAGTAAAACACTTTTGTAACTCATGACTTAGGTAAACTTTCCATTAAATTTTCATTCAAATTTTGTTAACCAAGTTTACATTACAGCTATAGCAGCAATAATAGCAGCAATCAACATAACTGGCATCCTTTTTGTGAAAGATGATTAGAGCAAAATACACTATCATTGAATCCTTGTCTTTGTGCTGGATGATAGACTTCCTGACATTCATATCAGACTCCATTGTTGCCATTCATATTTATTTTGTCAGACTACATAAAGTATCACTTTTTTATCAGTGTTGTTTCCTACATTTTTAGCCCAGACTTGAACGCATGTTGCACCTCAGTTTTCTGATGAGGTACAGGTCTGCCAAGGCCCTCTCGGCATGAAATCTGTCCTGCTGCTTCATATGTCTCTGTTCTGTCTCTGTTCTGCCTAACAGAAACTTTCAGTTTCTGTTAGGCTGAACACTACTCAAGCCATGTGTGTCTTGTCTGACAATCCCCTGAGAGTCTGATCGCTCTAAAACCAAAATACAAGCAAACAACAAAACACATAAAGCACCTCTAAATAAAAGTTCTGCTCTAATTGTGACATAAACTCATGGTAGATCTTGCATCAGCATCAGTCTTTAAACAAGTATGGTTACATTATATATTTGCTAAAACAACATTATAGAGTAATGTACTTGACACAATGTTTTCTTTGAACCTCGCAAAGTAGCCTCAAGACCAAAACAATTCTTTGAATTTGATAACTTACTATTACAATTTTCACCAATGTCAGTTAAGTCAGTCATCCATGCAAATAGACATCACTTGAAGGCTAGATTTGAATAAAAAAAATGGCATTATAACCATAAAGACCATGGGCCCATTTATCGGAAAGATTAAATATGGTCCATTAATGCCAGAGAGTATTGGAGAAAACACCTAAGCTCTTCATACAATGGTAAAAAAACCTGTGAACACCATTAGTCTTGTGAATCAGCATGTTGTCTTGAGTACCAATCACCCAAATAAGGACTGTACTGATGGTTTTTACCTGGCTATAAGGGCAGTAACTTACTTTCATTCTCAACTGTGTGAGAATGTGTATTAATCAAGAATTGTGGTCCAATACAGATACAAATACAACTGTAATACCATCCTGTCATATTGTTGTGGTTACAGGTTTGTTTCTCAGAGAGTGAGTGCATTTATTTATTTGCAGTTGTAAGAACACTAAATGTAAATAAAGTACGACTTGGCACTGGGAAAGGATGTGATTAGCTTGTTCTACCATTGATTTAATAATAGAATGAGTGGACCCCTGTGATATTCCCTTTTCAGGTTCTTCTGTATTCGTAACATTTTAGTATACCTGTACACATCTAACTCACATATTGAAGTTTAGCTAGTTTCCTGTTTTCCATTTTTATGCTTAAGTTTGCTCAGCTTTTCCTTCTGGCACTTCTGGCTCAGACAACAGATAGATCAAACTTATAAAAAATTTCAGATATTTCTTTTCGGCTCATAGCAAACAAGCATACAAAGCAGTCTCCAATGACAACAGGGAGGTTTTAGTTTGTCTGAGGAAAATCAGCATAATCAAATTTGTCAACAGAACAAATAAGCGTGCTCAGAAATCTACATGTTTTGCAAGTTGACATATACGTCCAACCCTTCTGTGTGCATGTTAAGGCAAAGCACCGCCACAAAATGCCAATAAGTTACCAGAGATTTTCAAGTTGCCCTATCTTACACGTAGGAACAGTTTGTCTGTTCATGATTAAGAAAGCTATAACCCTACAGATTATACTTTATTGTCCAGTATATGACCGCTTCTTGAGAACTTTGCTGAAATTTAAGATGGGACCATCGATAGAGCACTTTAATGACAGGGAAGATAAGATTCACAGCGAGTGACTCATTCATAGCTCCACAGTGATTTTCCCATCCTTGGTAACCTCCTAACCCTGCTCACATGTTTACTGCTTTGAAATAATCAGTACACTTCTTAAACAAATAACGATATTGCAGAAGAGCAGCATAGATCGAACATGAAGCAGTGTTGTAATGGATGACCTCTGTGCACACAAGTGAAACAACATGCTCCAGTCGGACTACGCTTGATGTAAAGCGATCATCTGTGAGCACTACAGATGAATGCAAAAGCCTGTTAATTACGTTTTGATCATGGATGCAGTCTCTACTGAGTTAATCAAGCTGTTTTATTGTCTTTACACTATCATCTTACTCTAGGCTAATCTCATCATTTTATCACATAGATGGAAAATGTGGATTTTCTTAAACTAACCCAATCTTGATCAAATCCATTTTCACTTTTGATTTCGTTATTGTGGTTTAGTAAATATTTGATAATCAAAATCAAGCGACAATCATGGGGAAAAGCCTCAAGGAATGTTATGGTGTTTTCTTGCGGAAAGAAATATATTTTTTATGAGTCTCTAGCATAATTTGAGTGTATGGTTAACAAGTTCACCTACATGGGGTTTAGTGCCTGAACTTGAGATCGTTGACCTATTGCTGTGTACTGGCACTTTCTCTTCAAATACAGGAGAACTGTTTGCAGTGTGACATGTCAGAGAAGATCATTTGAGCAAGCAGGGTTTCTTACTTTGAAAATAATTTGACTTCAGACAGTGTTGGTTTATAACTCAAGAGTGAAAGCCATTTAGAAACAGACACATTAGATGGATCACATTTGAGTTAAAAAGAAAACTTTTGTGGACATTCAATCAAATGAAATTTTATTTACATGCTGAAAAATTCCAACAGAATGTCTAGACAAATTTAACTTGTTAAAGGCCTTATATATAGTTATCTGCTAGCAACGATGCACATTTGAATGTGTGGTTTCTAAACACCTTTTGTGTCAGCAGGTATCATCCATTAGACTGATAATGTTATTTTTTTTTAGAAAGAAGTTTAGAAGTTTTAAAAACAAATTTGAAGCATGATTTTAACTGCTCTTGATGTTAGTGTAAGTCAGCCGACACCAATCTATGGTTAGATCAAACCGCAGATTTTAGTTTACTTAGTTATTTCCCTGCTTATCTTTGGGAAAATGAACTTATATATAGATATAGAAGTAGATGAGAATATATTTTCCTATCAACAATGTATCCAAGACCCTCACCTAAGCACATTATTTTTCTTTCTTTTTATTCAATCTTTAAATGAAAAAGCTCTGTAGAATGTAAAGGTTTACATCAACTGTCAACCAGTGATAGAGTAAGAGCCAGTTTTAAGTAACTTATGACAATTATGTTTAGCATTAAATATACAGATATGTGTATAGAGGAAGTTGAAACTGGTTTTGGTATGAGTGAAATTTTTGTACTCAGACACCCTGCCATCACTATCAAATATTTATATTTGTGAAAAATGGTTTATTTAATTAAATTGCAAGCTTCTCAGCTAAATCAAAGTAAGTAAAATGACCAGTATAGGATTCCCTGCATTTGGGAGAGGTTAACCTACACTTGCACCTTATATGGATGCAGTCATGGGTGGGAATGTGAGTTTAGCTTGCAATAGAAATTGCAGGTGATAAAACTGACCAATTTAAAGCAGTGGAGTCATGACTGACCTCATGTAGCTCTTATGGTTGTTTGTTTTTTTCTCTACTGACAGAGGTAGCTGATACTGAAAAAACAAGAAAAAAAAAAGTGATTCACAATAGAAGGGACTAGTTAACCATCAACCTCGCAGACACTCCACCTCTCCTTTTGGTTAGCAGCTCATGGGACAGAGGAAAAGAACTGCTGTCAGTAATTGCTATTCTATCTGTCACTAGTAGGTTCTTGTCACACTCACACTTACAAGGCGGAGCTAGGCCTAAAAAAAAAGATTTAAAAAAAGGAGGGGGCTACCTACGGGAGTGTGGGGGTGTGAGAAAAAAAAGGAAGAGGAGGTGAGGGGGCACATTAGCTTCTTGGACACGTCTTTCTGCCCCACTGTCAGGTAGTTGAGTATTTGTTTGCCCAAACCTCTGGTAGACATGGACATGGCAGACTACAGCGAGGCTTTGGATCCAGCTTACACCACGCTGGAGTTTGAAAACGTGCAAATGCTCCCTTTGGGCACAGGTGAGTCACATATGTGCAACTCTAGCGTTGAACTTTGAAACCTTTACTGATTTAAAACTTTGGTCAGGAAAGGACAGAGGCAGTTCTGGCATGATGTGATAAAAAGGGGTCATTTGTCCATCTGCTGCTTAAAGAGGGATCCTCCTGTGCAGTGGTCTTTTTTTTTATCACTCCAGGTCACAACAGTGAAACATTAAGGGATTTTGTTTTATGAGCCTCCTATATTCTGAAAAAAAAAATCAGGTCATTTGGTCCTAGCAGTTTCAGCCTGTGAAACTCATTCAGCTTGTGCAATGATGTGGGGTCAAGGTAGATTTGATATTTACTGTAAGATGAAGCAGTAGCTGGAGTATCGTGTTTCAAACGGTCTATTCCCACAGGGTTTAGACAAATGAAAAAAGGATGCAGCTTTTCGATACGTGTCTTCAATGACACCCACTTATTTATACAGGCACTCTCCCATGACCTGGGTCTAAGATTCTAAAATTCTCACTGAGAGTTTAAGGCAAGGAAAGCCAAATGGGAAGCTGTTTCAAACAAACTCACTGCTCAACATTTTTATTGTTTTTTTTTTACATGATATCTCTCTATCATATAAATAAATGGCCTCTCCACATAAGTCAGCCAGCCATTTTTCAAATAAAGACTTCCAGCTTGTTTCATGACATTTGATTGAGACATTCTTATCTGTGTGTGTGTGGCTAAAGTAAAAACTTGTCTTCTGTGATTGCCTTCGCAGAGGTAATCTAGTTAACATCAATTATCCTCTGTTAAGTATATCTAAGCTACTCAGGAAGGTAATAGCTCTCTTGAAGACTGGTTTTGATCAGTCATCAGTGGAGCTGATTTCTTTATTCACTCAGGCCATTTACACATTCGTGAATCATACCTAATCTCAAGCCTGTCTTTTACTAACAGTATTACCATGGAGAAACAGGCCACCTTTCATCTGATTAATATGCAAAAAATATGATAAATATAAATTAATTAAATAATTCCACATGTTTCAAGCTGCTTCGCTCCCTGTCTCAGGCAAATGTCTTAAAATCCTGCGAAGTTGATGAGATGTTTTCCTTCTTTCTCTTGCTCCTTGTGTTAGACTCCTCACCGGCTGAAAGCACCAACATGAATGCCACCGGTCACCTGGCAGCAGGCAGCTTGTGTGCCATATGTGGAGATAGAGCTACCGGCAAACACTATGGGGCCTCGAGCTGTGACGGCTGCAAAGGCTTCTTCAGACGAAGTGTCCGCAAAAACCACATGTATTCCTGCAGGTGAGAACTTCGTGCTATATTCATCTGAGAAAAACTTAAAAATGTGTAATTACCCATCCTCTAAGAGTGACACAGAAGCAAAGCATCTAGAGATAGAATTAATGTTCATCTGTACATGTTTTCATTTTATTGGTTAACTTTTTTTTCTCTGATTACATTTTCTTGTGGAAATAAAAAAACAGCTCAAGTGTTCTTCTTCGATAATCTTTTTTAGGTTCAGCAGACAGTGTGTTGTGGATAAAGACAAGAGAAACCAATGTAGATACTGCAGACTGAAAAAGTGCTTTAGAGCTGGGATGAAGAAAGAAGGTAAGAGACATATATCTCTGAAAAGTAAGATGACTCAGATTAAACACTTCAGCATGTTCTTTTCATCAAATGTTATAATAAGTGCTCATCATTTTACCTTTCAAAAAGAAGAAAAACATGTCAGACTTAATCAGCAAATCACTGCGACACTGTGTGAGCTGTCTCCACTGAATTGATGTGACTTGTCAGAGTGTTGCAATGCCCAGGAGAGTACTATTTTGTTAATGTTCACTCCATAGAGTGCTGAAGTCTTTGACCAGTTTATGCTGAGCAAACATTTCCAAGCAATAATGGCCATATACTGATAGACACTGCAACCTCAAAAACATTCTTTTTCTTTTTGTAAGTATCAGGTTTCATTCAAAACCGTGGCAGGGAATTATTAATGCTTGTTATTTTTTGTTTTCATTTAATTATGAATGCATTAAGAACACCCATTTTTTGCATTGCCTTTTTTTTACTTAATTCAGCTGGTTTATAGATCAGTCTAAATCTGTGTGTTTTTAGCTGTACAAAATGAAAGAGACAGAATCAGTACCAGGAGATCTAGCTATGAAGACAGCAGTTTACCATCTATCAACGCACTCATTCAAGCTGATGTTCTGTCAAGACAGGTAAAGCTCTCACTACATTTTTTCATTTAACTGCCGTTGATCACTTCTGTCAAAGAATGAAATCAATCACAATCTGTACTTCCAGATAACATCACCCGCTCCCATACTGAATGGCGATATAAGGACAAAAAAAATTGCCACAATCACAGATGTCTGCGAGTCCATGAAACAGCAACTGCTTGTCTTGGTGGAGTGGGCCAAGTACATCCCAGCCTTCTGTGACCTGCCCTTGGATGACCAGGTAAAACTCATGCACAGACAGAGTGTACATAATGGTATAGACTCCCTGGTCATTCATCAACTACTTAGCTCATAACCATGATGCAGTCTGCCAGAGCCCATGGCATCACATTGTGCTCTTCCTCTAAAAAGAAAAACTATTTTTCGCTAAAACAAAAAAATGAGCGTAAGCACATATCTAAGATGACAGGACTTTTCACTCACAAACATTTCCCCCAAATAGTTAATGTATTTAAATCCTGAGTTAGAATATGATGAGCTGGTTTGAAAGTTACATCCCTCCTTAAAAGAATCTTGAATCATTAACAGTGTGATCACCAGGCCTTAGTCACTGATTTGCTGATGAAGAGCGAGAGAGTCTGAGCTTCTTACGGAAGCTTTTTGCACATCCAGTCTTTAAGTTTAGGTCAAATGTCGATATTTGAATTTAGAGAAAGATTTAATTCAATGTATAACAGCATTGTCATGGTTTTTGTTTCAGGTTGCATTGCTTCGAGCTCATGCAGGAGAGCATCTTCTACTTGGTGCTGCTAAGAGGTCAATGCTGTACAAGGACATCCTTTTATTAGGTAAAACTGATACACATGATAAAGGAGTGTGTTCACATACATGGTGAAAATACTTTTCCTTTACATAATGTTATGCATGTTATCAAAAATGTCTTTCGTTACAGGGAATGACCACATCATTCCCAAAAACTGTCCAGAGTTGGAGGTGGGTAGGGTAGCAGTCCGAATCCTGGATGAGTTGGTGCTTCCCTTCCAAGAGCTTCAGATAGATGACAACGAATACGCTTGCTTGAAGGCTATAGTTTTCTTCGACCCAGGTACTTCCATTGACAAAACATTTGGATACTCCTTTTTTTATTTTGATCTGATAACACCAATTACAAGTTCTAAAACTGGGAATGCCATCTAATGTATAAAGATGCCACCTATTAACACACATCTCTTTGTTAACATCTGTCCACAGATGCTAAAGGTCTCAGTGACCCGGCAAAGATCAAGCGAATGCGATATCAGGTCCAGGTCAGCCTGGAAGATTACATCAACGACAGGCAGTACGATTCTCGAGGCCGCTTTGGGGAGCTTCTCCTGTTGCTGCCAACGCTACAGAGCATCACTTGGCAAATGATTGAGCAAATCCAGTTCGTAAAGCTCTTTGGAATGGCCAAGATTGACAACTTGCTCCAAGAAATGCTTCTTGGAGGTGACCAGGCTCTCTTATTTCATTACTTGTCATACCGATGTATTGAACAAAATCAATCAAAAGAGTGTCCTCTTAAGTCTAAGAATCCAAATGGTTCGATATGTTGTTATGGGATTATCGATTGTATATTTTCTGGGTTCTTTTTTAGGTTCTGCTAATGAAGCTCCACATGCACCTCACTCTTTGCACCCCCACCTGGTTCAAGAGCACCTCAGCACCAATGTTATAGTGACCAGCAACATGCCAACACCTATCCATAATGGTCAAATCTGTAAGTACATATGAGTATTACTTCACTGTTTTATGCTAAAAAACATTAAGTTTATGTGCATCCGATTCTGTGGTAGCTATCATTAATGAATCATATCTAATAGAATTATTTCCATGCAGCTACGTGAGCATTTCGGTCAGGTAGCTTGAGGGTCAAACAAGCTCTACAAAATAATCCCTTTAATTCTTCATGGAAACTAATCTGGCTTATTTTGTCAAAGAAAAGTTCTGTTTTTCGTTCCTAATGTGTTTAATGCTCTGAGAAATTTCACAAAAGCACTTGCTTCACATAAAAAATTGCATTATCTTAGAGCTTTATATTGCACAGTAAAAAAAAATGTACAGCTGCTTATTTCGCAGTTCTGGTTCTAATGGGTTATTCTGTTTTTCTTTCGTGTTTTTCAGCCACCCCTGAAACGCCTATCCCATCTCCACCAACTGCCTCAAGCTCAGAACATTATAAAATGGCTCAGGGGGTCATAGCTACTGTGCCCAAGCAGCCAACCTCTATCCCTCAGCCAACCATCACAAAGCAAGAGGCCATATAACAGCTATTTGAATCCTTACTTCTTTCAGCTTTTTTGAAAATGTAAAACCAGGGTCTTTATTCAACAGTTTATAAACAAGTTGTTAAGCTGTTAACTTAAAAGAAACATTTATGCCAATAAATGTAATTGAAAGTTCCGAACCGATAGCTTTCACTGGGTTATTTAAAATGTAGTGATGGCTGAAATGGCAGTTGTAACATCCAGGCATACGGTTTTTCTTCAACTTTTCGCAGATGTTCACTAGTGTATGTAGTTTGCTATCAGGGAACATCAGTGCAAGCCATAAGGCTTAGACATTAGAGTGTAGGAGTATTTAATGAATGTTACAACAAGCCTTACATTTTCATACATTTAGAGTTGCACAGCTGTGTTTTAATTGTTTAATAGTGATAAAAGCAAACTGAAAAAAAAAAGAAAGGAGAGTGTATGAATGAGTTATTTTTTAAATATCTGAGACAAAATCATTCCGTTTGTGGTTTGACTTATGCGCTGCAATAGGAATATTTACTGGATAGAAATTTTAAGGATAAATTCGAAAACCTATGCCCAGGTCACCTGTGTACAAAGCCACACTTTGTAAACAGGTGCCACAGGAATACATGCTAGGGAAGTCTCACAGTATGTTGTACTGGTTATGAAAGAGTATATATATATTGTATTTTTGTTTAGTATATTGTCATGGTTTAACAAATTAAATCAATTGTGCCTTGTATCCTGTACTGCCTTACAAAACCAGCCTATGGTTTGCCTTACAATGTGAAATTGACTCAATAAATCTTTTCTTCTATTTTTACATTGCGGAATCTGCTGATTATATATTATTTTGTAGCAGAAAGGTTCACAAAGGGGCTAAAGTGAAATGATAAATGGGAAAATACTATGAGGAAAAAAATGGTTCCAACGTGGCAGTGTTGCTTGGTCACTGATAAACTATCATAAAATCATTATAGATAACACAGACAGCAACTTCAAAGACACATTTTACTCTCCACCTGGTAAAACAGGTAGCTGACATAGTAATATACTGCATTTTGACATAAGTATTCATTTTCCTTGATACAGTAAGTGGTGTGAAAATCAAAAAATATGTCAAATTACTATTACAATCCTTCAAACAGTTGAATCACAAAAAAACCCACAAAAATTAAAAGATATCGGGTTATGTTTTTGGATCAGCAATCAAACTTGAGCATGTTTGTGGCATTGTCCTTTTCCTGACTCAGCATTATCCTATATTGTTAAAATTCACATTTTACTCACTGCACTCAAAACATTTGGTGAAAAAAGATTTGTAAATGCATGTCATAAAGATTCACGTGGAACAAATTAATATAAATGGATTGGGTCATTATAATCTTCAAATGAATGTGGCTGCCTTGCTTCAGGAAGTTTTTCTTTCTATTTTGTCATTGTTGAATGAGTAATCTTTAAATTGATGTTCTTGTCTTGATTCGAGAAGATTTCTTTATATCTTGTCCTTCTTGAATGAATTCAAACATATCTATCTGGAATTACAAGACTGATAGTTAATCAAATATAACCTAAACCGACTCATTCAACAATGAATGGTAAGTTTTATTAGCCTACTCAGTTAAATCCTTGAAAATTATTTGGACCTTATTAAAAATCGACCTTATTCAATCTATATTTTTCCAGCTACCCTTTTCCACAATTAAGTTTTACTAAATAAAAAAAATCTCACCCCAGCTACCCGCAAACACCCATGTAGGGATTTCAAAATGTTTTTGCCAAGGGTTGTGATTTTCTGTTTTTACACACGCAAATTCAGCAAAAAGCAAGGCAAGTCTGCCATCTACTGCTCAGAGCCCTACATACAACAACGGTAACATTCTTAAAACCGTTTGAGCGATGTAGGATTCAAGTGTAGCAACACTTTCCGAAAACCTGACATATCCGTCCTTTATTTTCTTTGTATTGGTAAAATGTTGTTATTTGATAAAAATCAAATTGTCAACACAACTCTAGAAAAATGATTTAATTATAGCATTAGTCGGAATTACACGCACACACCCACACACACACACGGACGCTCATTTTGCTGGATGTGGTGCGTCATCTGTGCGTCACGTGTTGACCAATAGACCAATGAGATAGCACGGTCTCTCTACCCGGAAAGAGGATTTTTTCCCCTGACAGGTTGGTAGTGATTTTGTTTTGCACATTGGTTTGTTGTTGTTCATCGTTGCGGCGTTTGGTGCTTCGACTTCTCACTTTGCTAGTGGACATTTTTTTATGCCACCTTTGTCTTTTGAAGGGGGTCAATATTAAACGAAAGTCCAGTGAGTATTCAATCTTTCCAGTGCTCTGCAGCATTGGTTGTGTTCGTGGTCATATTAGCCTCCTCAGCTTCCGATTCATTTCTGAAATGCACATTATCTTGTTTTCGAGTCAACGAGTCGACCCTTTAAGTGTTTTACACTGTTGTACTTAATTATTTGTAGAATTGTATTTATAGACAAATATACTGTCACTAAACATGTTTATGATGTGTGTGTAAGCAATCTAAATAATTTCTGTATATTTATTTTAGGAAGTGTTCTGTATTATTCTAAATTGTACTATATTTTAATGTAGAGCTTCTGTTTTTTCTTTCCACAATTGGAAATAAATCTGTGTAGTTCTTTCACCGATTAGATACAATGACAGTGGTGCGGATGTGTCTATTTGTTTTTTAACAGCTTTACCCAGACGGTCCATGGCTGATCAACATGACTGTCATGGTATCAGTCGTCCTCCAGTGGACTCCGGAGCAACTGCCGGGCAGAGCTGGTTCCCTGGACCCCCTCCGCCCATGTATTCATGCACCCTGACCCCTGAACTGGAGGCCAAGGCACGGGAGGAGCTCCAGGAGAAGCCAGAGTGGCGCCTCCGTGATGTTCAAGCACTGAGAGACATGATTTTAAAGGTCTTTCTTTCTTTCTCTTTCCAGCTATCTCATTCTTTATTCATCAATCAATTCATCCATTCATTCATTCAGCCAATCCAAGAGTATGATTCCCTGTTATATTTTGGATTTTGAATAAGAACTAAGCAAAATAAGTGTGTATAATTAATTGACGAAGAGGATTTTGGTGTTTCTTTTGGTCCTTTATACTGAATAGTTCACAATTACAATATGAAATAAACAGACTCCACTTTTTATACAAATTTGAAAATAATGTATTGAAATTATTTAACTGATATGGTCATAAAAATAATATTTCAGTACTGTCCGTTTGCCTAAGTTTTAAATATGACTTTCCAGGAACAACCCAATCTCAGGACTCGACTCGATGACACCTTTCTGCTTCGGTTTCTGCGGGCAAGGAAGTTTGACTATGACCGTGCCTTGCAGTTGTTGCTCAATTACCATGCAGGCCGTAAGGCCTGGCCAGAGGTGTTCCAGGACCTGAGGCCGTCCACAGTCAAACATGTGCTAGACCTGGGCTTTCTAACAGTACTACCAAGGCCAGACCCCAGCGGGAGATACATTCTCTGTCTAAGACCAGGTCGGTTTCTGCTGAATTCTGATCTTCATGATAGCAATTTCATAACAAAACAATGATATAATCCGTTAATTGTTGTCACATTATCATAGAAAAGCTTATTCCAAGTGTTTTATAGAACTTTTAAGCACTCACTAAGTAACAAAGAATTATTAACTTCACTGAAAGGTTTTTAAAGGATACGTTTTTTGATTATCTAAAACGACTCGTACAGGAAAATGGAAACCAAATGATTATCCATTTGTTGACAATGTGAGGGCCATTTATCTGACTCTGGAGAAGTTGATCCAACCAGAAGAAACACAGGTGAATGGCATAGTCATCTTAGCCGACTACACTGGAGTGGGAATGTCACAGGCATCCAATCCAGGACCATTTCTTGCCAAAAAAGTAGTGAGCATTCTTCAGGTGAGCTGTCTTCTTTGTTTATATATGTTTATTTTTAATTTTGTGATCTGATGATAATTTAATGTTGGAATTAATAAAGAAAGAGAAATGTTGAGCTTTTGTCAGGTTTTGTTAAGCCTGCTGTTTCTCTAATGTTAACTTAAGTGTGTGATACTATAAGCTATGTGTTCCAAACGCAGTGTCTAATTCACAGGATGGCTTTCCAATCAGAATCAAGGCAGTTAACATAATTAACGAGCCCAGGATCTTCAAAGGCCTCTTTGCAATAATCAAGCCCTTTCTAAAGGAGAAAATGGCAGAGAGGGTAAGTATTGTCCTTATCTTACTCTTGTTTTTATGATGTATTTTCCTTTCTCCTTTTCCTTTTTTCTTGACTTGCTTTGTGTTCTTAAGAAAATACTAAAATGTTGTTGCTTCTTAGAAACTAGATATTATGAACCATTATAAACAGTGGCACATTAGAGCATTTTTTCATTTATCTGTTAAACCTGAAAAGACAACAATGATTACATACCAGAACTTCCATTTTTCTGAGTTTTGAGTCAGATTTGAAACGTATGGATAAATGTATCTTTATGTATTGTAGAGTGAAAATAAGTATGCAAAAGAGAGAAAACCGGAAAAAAGCTCTTTCATAAGAAAAATGAAAAACCTTTGCAGTAGTGCGCAGTATTGACTACTGAAAACAGTTTTTTTCTTATAGATACTTTTTATACTTAGAGTTTTATGACATTAACTGAAACACTTAAAAAAGAGGGTGCTGATAGGGGAAAAAGTTATCCACGTGTCTTTGCTCTTTCTTTGAATAGTACGTTCTCCATGGCTCAGACCTGCGCTCTCTGCACCGAAACATTCCAGCTTTGGTTTTGCCAGAAGAATACGGCGGCACCGCTGGTCGTTTAGACATGAACGCTTGGTCCAGACTGCTGCTTGACTGTGAGGAGGAATTCATAGTAGAATTCTGCCAGCCAGATCCACTAGAGGGCGTGGTACTTCCAGATTCCATGCTGTTTGAGGGAGAGCAAGCCAGTGGGAAGGATGACGACACCTTCAGGGGCCTGCGTTCTCAGTTATACTACTGTTACTGATGCACAGTACACACACACACTCCTGTCACTGAGAGGATATTCGCTGTTTCATCTGAAACATAGGACTTAAATAGGGCAAGTTGCCAGCATTGTACATGATATATTTTATTAGCTACACAGCACTATTGAGGAAAATAATTTTCAATTCACTCACAATCCAGCATTCAATAATTGATCAAAGGCAGCTCTTGGTTCTCTGGTGAAGAGGCTTTCGATATGAGCCTATGCATGTTAAGTCATTGTTGGAGTTTATTGTTACTAGTGTTCAAGGGATAGGCTCACGTTTACATGTTACAAAGTTTTGTGCACATGTTTGTGTTAAAACAGGTTTCACTCGTCAAAATTCTGAGAAACACTACAATGTTCTTTTCTGGTATGCTTTTGGATGAAGATCCAGCCCTACATTATGGCTGGCTTATGATTCATAACAACTTGTTAGATAAAATGAGTGAGTGTCATAAAACAAAATGATGTCCGCACTAATAGCAGCTAAACAGAGAGAACAAACATAGAAATATATTTAAAAACAGTTAATGTCACATCATAGGTTTGGCAACTGGAGGTTGCTCAGGATCAAATAGGCATAAGCTGTTGTGTTGGATGTTTGAAAAGATCTTCTGTGGGAAATTGTATCTCTTATCTTATTTTAATTTTATTGGAAGAAGATTTTCATCTTAAAAGGAGGATTCATTACAGGATATAAAGATAAATGGCCATTTGACCAGCATTTAAAGACAAGTGAAAAACTTCCATTTTGTCATTTAATACTGGTTACTTTTAAGTTATGCTATAGTTCAGTGAATATTCTTCAATATTTCATATTCCTCATAAAAGAACCATTGCATTCTTATTTATGCTTAATCCATGTTCAAATATATCCCCTAAAATTCACCCAAAAACAAACCATTTAAATTACAACTACAACATTGCCTTAAATTGTTGTAATAATTATGTTGGAATCCTGAAAACGACAACAATATTCATTCATTTGAATACATTGGTTACTGTCTGCAAGATGGCTAAGGAAGAATGTACTGGTAAGGTTTTGGCTTTATATGTAACTCACAAAGTGTTTTAAACAGTGTCAAAGCTTTGATTTTGTGGCCTAAATGATTTAAGTTTTGGGAATTTGCCTTGTGATTTTATTTGATTAATTTGCCTCTGTTTGATCACACAGTCTTAATCTTTGGCCATTGCTAAACACGACAGTTACATGGGGAATGAGTAATTGAGGATTGACTTTATAAACATCTGGTTTGCCAAATAGTCATGCCAAATCTGAAAAAATCGTTACGTCTTTTCTTCTTGCGTACACCAAAGCTAGCTCAGCAACTTTGGTTCACTCTTTTATATTTTTTATTCCAAACATGTACATGCCTGTGACTAGAAGCTGTATTTTGTTGCAGAATATTTATTGCTGATAATGATTACAGTAAAGTAAAGCTAAGATAAAGAAAAAGCTATTTGTGTCGTGTACATGCTGTGGTTCTCAAAGGATGGGTCCGTATAGAAAATATGTGAAACCTTTGTTCTGAATTAATGCCAGGATTGCTATTCAAAAAGAAAAAAAAGCCAAACTTTAAAATGCACACAAGACAAAGTTAAGTTGTGTATCAAATTGGTATAATCATAGTTTGTTAATCTTTCCCACAGTGAGAATATTCTGGCAGTAAGACTGAAAATTGCATCATACTGTAAGAGACTTTGTAATAGAAACACATTAGGCTTTATAAACAATGAAGGCCATCCACTACCATATATCAGCCAACGCAGAGAAGTGTCTTTAATAGCCATAGCAGAGATAACAGCCCGGGGGTTCCATAAAATCTTTTTTCTATAGGCTCTTTCATTTTTTTAAATCGTACTATTATTCTTGCTTTCTCATATCAGACTTGCAAAGGGTTTGGAACCCAATCCAGCAGACTGTATACCCTGGACTGATCACTAGTCCATTACAGGGCTAACACAGATGTAAAAAAAACAATTATGCAAACTGGCACTTGTGATGAAACAGATAAGTAACTAACCTGCTCTATTGTGTGTTTGATCTATTGGAGGAAATTCTAATATCTAGTTAAAAACATAGACCCGAGTGAATGTTTAACACACTAATGATTTTCCTCAAAAATTCTAAAGTGAGTAAGTTCTTCCTATGTGTCATTGTGATCTCATAAGCTAAATCCATGCCCTATTGTCAGTGTGCATTGTGATTCTGATAATAAAAACGAATCTAAGATTTTCTTTAAATCCATTTCAAGGTGTCTTTTGACTTTGAACCCTCAGTTGCCTGGACAGGTCAGTGGTTTGATCCCTGGCTATATATCAAGCAGTCTTTTAGCAATACATTTAACCCAAAGTTGTAGCCTCAAATAGGCCAGTGAGTTATTTCTCCTGCTTGTACCAGACCCAAGCCTGGGTAAATGCGGGGGTTGGATAAGGAAGGGCATCTGTGAAAACCTCTGCCAAAAGCTGAGAGTAAGGGTTGATGTGACCCTTGATGGGAAAACACCAATACACAAACAGCATTGTGCATAAATATAGCATACCATTCAAAAGTCTGAATGTGAGCCAGTATTCATTCCAAATACAAAGGAAAACGCAAGATAGGTGCAATTCATTATAACACACACAAGCATTAATATTACTGCAAAGAGTGAGTAGAGAGTTTGTACAAATTCCAATCTAATGAACTTAAAAGTTATTGTCTGGTTTATTTATTTATTTTTTGTTCAATGTTGCCTGAACATCAACTTGCTTTAAAATCCTTGAAGTGGTTATCAGGAATAGCGATAATAATAGCAATATGTGAATATTCAAGAACTCTTTATTTGACATGTTTGCTGCCTTTCTGTTTTTTTTTTACGGTGTAGATAATGGTACAGGTCTAATAGAAAGCACTTTTGTGAAAGAATTTACTTTACTTTACCTTTACTTATGGACATTCCAGAGTAAAAAAACAATAAAACACGCAAGTGAAGCCAAAATCATGCCTCCAAAAACTGAACAACCACTTTAGTAAAGGACTGGATCATCCCTCAATGCCTATAGGGCTTCTATTGACAACTTAATTTTACTGAGTTGTCTTTGATGCAGTAAATTCAACTTTCTCTCCATGTAGAATGATTTCCTACATAGATGGAAGTATGAAAATGAGAAGAGCCAGGCTTTCATTGTTTCCACAATCCACAGTTCAATAAAATGCATCCACAGATGTATGTAGGAACAAATCCGTGGCCAAATCAAGCTGTTACTATTGCTCAAATGAAAACTAAATGGAATTATTTGGAAAGTTAAATTAAGCCATGGTTACAACTTAAATTGGCCTTTTCAGTGGACCATTGTGTATCTCCCAGTTTTTTGTATTATATGTTATTCTACCTGGTTGAACATTTCCTTAATGGACAGTTTGTTTTTGTGGATGGGATAGCTTCCATGCTATGAAAATAAAACCATTTCCAACCACTTCCTATCCAGCATGTCATGGATTATAAAGAGCTGGCACTCTCCCCACTGTAAATTGACTAAGGGTGACAGCAGTAGTCTTTCATTGATGAGCATCTCTCGTGACAACATCCCTGCGAATAAATCACAATTTGAATAAAAAATCTTGTTACTACCGACTTTGATAAGGTGGATGAGTAATTTGGCAAATCTTTTTTTGAAAATTGTTTCCAGCAAATCTTCCATTGACATCTTTTCTGACAGGGCTTTTGCAAACAAAGACTGAATGTTCATTTAGGTGTTTCAGATGTTTAGTTGTTTTGTACAACCAAATATGTTCTGATTTTTTTGTCAATCAAAAGATTTAATTTGGAAAAATTAGGACAAGTGAAAAATGATGTGGTATTGGTAATTAGAAACTAAATGAAAATGTGTTATATAGTTATTGGAAAGTGAAGGAAAATGTTCCTCAGAATCCATATTCCGATTCTGTTTTTTTAGTTCAAAATCATCCAAAAGGCTGTATTGAAAGACTAACCCTCTTTAGGAGATCTCACTGGTCCTGCATGCTTTTACATTGAAGTAAATGTTACATTTAAATAGCCAATTATCTATTTATTGTCATTTTGTATAATTGTAGCAATTGGTGATTTTGATTTTTGAATGTATGTGTGTACTTAGGGTTCTTCTGTTTGTTTTTTTCCACTGAAATTCAACCAAGTAACAACAGGGGCTCAAAAAACTTTTTTTTAAATGTTGATTTCTGTAAGGCCTATTCAGGTAGGATGGACAAGCAGCTTGTACAATTTAACCAGCTTTTAACCAGCTCTTAAATGCGTAAAACAGGTAGGCTATAGAAAATGATTCGTGGAAGGTTCAGGTACATGTTGGAGTCAAATGATATGAAATGATACCGAAAATAGAAAAGGCTAGATTGTGATTTCTCCTTTTTTACCTTTAAAAGTTTAACAAATACACATAGGAGTGGATGCCCTGCGTGTGCATCCTGTAAGGATGGCTGTCTGATTGACTGATGAGAGCCTGAGATTGAGGCGCAGTGACATGAAAGCTAACAAAAGGATCACCCTGGTGTGCGTTTATTATCTTTGGAGAGCAGCGTGGATTTGGCTCCAGCCCACAGGAAGACCGGGAGCCCCCTCAGGCTCGCTGTGATTGGCTCGCACACGACAAACTCCATTTTGGAAAACAGCTGTTTCGAAGACACAAGCTTTTTTCCCTCCCTGTTGTTGCTCTGTGGTACCTTAAGAAATCCCAATCAGTCTTTTGCAGTCGCCTATACCCACCAGGAAAAAACATTTTTCTTTGACTGACATCAAACCAATCGGACCGTCGGTTTCGGTCCAATTCGGCGATCTTCGGATTTAGTTCGACCGCCAAGAAACTCGAACTGGAGACCCATGGTTGTTAAATTTCCTTTGTAACAAGTGGATGACAGGAGGAGACACGACCGAGGTTAGTGGTGCCCTTTTTTTGTGTGTGGTCGGCGGTCTGGAAACGCGTGTTTTCCGAACTGCGTCTGTTTTGGGGGTGAATTTTGCGCACATAAAATGGATCGGGCATTTTACGTTTGGAAGTGGCCAGACGCAGGGAGCTGCAGAGTCACGAAGCGAGTTCACTTGGCTGTGGGTAAGCTATTTTTCCCCAGTCAATCCAGAGTCGACCAGAAAAACAATACAAGTCTCCTCACCAACAGCTTGACAAAATGGTTCGAATTAACATTGGCTTCAGATTAGAATGCATCTTGCGCTCTTTTTCTGCAGCGCGTCAGGCTTTTACTTATACGTATCCATTATTGTTTCATTGTATGTGTGCTATGAGTTCAATTTAAAGGGCTGGCATGTTTGGCCCTCCCACATCTTGTGGCTAATGACTGGCTGGGTTACTGTGGAAAAAGCCCTCGCCTCCACTCCACTCCAACTGCGCGTATTCTCCCATCAGTGTGCACCCACATCCCCTCCGGCAGCCCCTCGCCTCCTCCCACGAACTACAGAATCAACTTGGCTTTATTCGCATTTCACCAACTCACAAAAAACACAACGTGACAACGATGAGGGATGACGGCGAGCTGGATGCAGAGATGCTGGCGCTGACCGAATTAGCGCACGGGAGGATTTTTTTTTATACAACTCACGGCTCAGGGATGGAGATGCTTTTCTCTGACTCCAAACAGCAGCAGTTTTGCATGTGTGTTGCTGGGCAAATGCCAGTGCTACTGGGCACGAACTGGTGGAAGCAAACACAGGCTTCCTGCTTGTTTGTGCTGGTTCGCCTCAGTCTCTAATGGCTGACTGACAGACAGTGTGCGTTACGTGCACATTGGTTTGTCTACAGATGAGCAAGAAGCAGAGATAAAGTAAATAATACAGGTTTTCATTGTTATATGGGATACTAACCAGTCTATCAGACAAAGTCATATGAAAGATAGCAAAGTAATAACAGGAATGTGATGACGATGTAAACAATTAAACTGTATATTCTCCTTATTTTAATACATCATTCTGAGTTGGGTCGTGTTACATCCTAATGTAAAGGAACACAATAAGAATACAGAGAAAATAACCACCCAAGTATTTGTTAGTGGCTGCCCCTGTACCATTTCCCAAATTTCACACAGTTTCCCTAGACTTTTCTCCACATTTTTTTGGTCTCATCAGATTTGTGAGTAAAGTCGAGGAAAGACTTGGGTACAGAAGAGTTAAGATAATTTAATTTATTTAAGGCATTTAATAAGATGTCCTAGTGTCAGAGCATCATTTCAAAACTATGTCAATTAAATATGAGAGTGCTTCAGTTTTTGTTACAGCCTGCATCATTTTTAAATTATTTTGCTCACGTTAACATTGAATCTGTTTTTAACAAAGAAGATATTTGCTTTAAATTTTGTTTACAGTGCAGGGTTGAAACGGTTTATGGGCCATCTGGTTTGCCTCATCTCTCCTCTATCCCATCGACTCCATTTTTATTTTTGTTTTTGCACTGAAGACATTTTTCAGATTGTTTTAACTCTGGTACATTTCCAGGTCACAGGAGGAGAAGACTTAGTAGCGGAGCGACGAGGAGGCTAAAAGTAGAAAAATAAAATATGCCTGCAGTCACAATCCTGTTTAGCTAATGCCGTGTATTATCATGTTAAGAAGACATGGTAGATTAGAGTGAGACGCTCTACACACACCTAAAGAAATTCACCACAGCAGTGTGGGACAATGTGGGGTTCATTGGATTTTTAAAAAGTGGAATGTTCAGATTCTGAAACTATTTCTGATCGAGATTTAACTCAATACACCAAATCTGTCGAACTTCCTTTGCAGCAATTGTTTCTGTTCCATAAACGGGAACCTCACATTGAAATCTTATGACTTTTTTCCATTCGTGACTCTTTCATGCTAAGTTTTCATTTCCAGACAGTTTCGTCACTCTGGAGCTTGATCTGCAGTTTATCACACAGTTGGTATGACACAGTTGAGACAGAACTCTGCTCTGTGCTCATAATGCTATTTTAGCTGGAACGTTTGTTTAAAGTGACATGTATAAGTTTTGAGCAGTGATTACTCTAAATGAAGTTATGGCTGGCTTTTAGTTCAGAAAGGTTTCAGTATCTTTTAAGGTGACCATTTGCAGTAAATTGTGTACGGTACTTTCAAATGACTTAAAAAAAGATCAAATATGTTGCTATGTGCTTGCTCTTGAAGAGCATTTTTTATGCTTATGTGATGATGTGCGTCTTTTCTGTCCAGTCAACATACTATATGGCTTTCATGTCACCATGTAGGATTGGACATGTAATGGAAACATTCGATAAAGTAGAAATCGGCAAGAAAAGTAGAAATTGGCAAGAAAAGAAGAGCAGACATATTCACATCAAAATGAAAAACAATCTGACTGAATAGCAGACAATATGATGCTTTTTAAAGTTGTAAGGAAGACAGTGTTGGTCATTTACTCCAAATATGAGCCACATAAATAATAGTTTTAAATTAACAGATTATTTTTCTTATTATTATCATAGTATTATTCTGCTTTTTGGTCTTTTATTCACTGTTGTGGAGATATCCTTTGCACATCTCCTCATATATTTTAAGTAGTCTAGAATTAATATGTAAATAAATAAGTGGAATCAAACTGAAATGTTTCTCTTTGTCAATATAGTGATTCTCATCTTTAACAATGATGATTGAAGTGAAAATCTTATCTGTATGTATTTATAATACATTTTTTTGATGGAAAGACTATGTCCATGATAAAAAAGAGCTGAAATGTGTTATTATTCAGATTTTCTGTCACCCTTTGCATGCCGTATCTTGCAACACATCAAATAGCTGTGTCAGTCTTTCTTGGGAAAAAAAAAAAAGCGTATTTAAGAGGAAACGTCTCTGTTGTGCTGGAAGATCACATGATCACATGACAGGGGTTTAGGTCACTTGATGAATTAGATTTTACACAGTCTGTTCTGTCTGATGTCAGATGCGGCGTCCTATGGAATAGCTCGGCACCGCTTCGTCTCCTCTCTTTTTACTAGCTTACTAACATGGCCTGTTATCTGTCAAAATGGCTAAGGGTGCAACAGAGCAGCAAGAACAGATCCCGCTCCTACTGAGAAACACGTTCCCTACGCTGACCTTGAAGGGAACCCTTCAGTCTTTTTTTTTTTCTGTGCTTCCATCATGAGCACATTTGCTAGTTCAAAAATAAGAGAGACAGAAGAAACAGGCAGGCCTTTTTCCTAGTAAGATTATACATGCTGATGATTCGGCAGCCATCGAGGCTTATCCTCTGAGCCTTTTGTGCATTATGCATCTTCTAATCTGTGACGCTGCTTTTTTTTCACAAAGCGGTTAGATCGTGAGTAATCAGGTCATGCTCAGGCAGTTATGGTTTTCTGCAGTGATGACTGACCGGCAATCTTATCAACTATTCTCTTCTTAAAAGACTCTGTCAGTAAGCACAAACACTGAAAGCTGCCAAAAAATAACATGATTATATTGAGGCTGCATTCAGCAGGGGGTGGGAAGTTTATTGTGTGTCTGTTCTGTCAGTTGCACATGAATGGTCATCATGATGGACAGTTTTGTCTGATTTTTCCAGTGTGACTGAAGGTTGAACCAGTATCCTTGATTGGTTAGATTATGACATTCATTGTTCGAGAGCTTCCTTAAATGGGAATCTGAAATGACAACATTCAGGACATTTTAAAGATAAAACCTGACATGCTTTTGCTAATTATGTCAATCTTTTATTGAAATGGGTTCAAATGCCTCACATATTTGCCTTATAGGTCTGATCTGGAGTAAGAACAATTTGCCTGTATGTTAGTCAGTGATTATATTCAAAATTCTTCTTCGCCTTTTGTGTAAGCATCCCTGTTTTGTAGTTCTCCAACTTCCTTTTAAGGAGAAAATCCGCACCATAACCCTCACCTGAACTGTGACGGATAGAAAATTATTTTCATGTACACAAAAAAAGTAGTGTACACATGTGATTCCCTGTGATAATGCCATGTGATTAGAGACTTGCTGCAATTCTTTAGAAACTGGAAAAACTAGTTGTGACTCATGGATGAGCAGGTGGTGGGGATTTTCAGGCAGAAAAAAACGGCAACCGCACATGAACACAGGCATCTCCTTACATGGTCGTTGTGGTCACAGCATTCTTTCCTATATGTGGATAAACCTGCTGTTAGTCAGCATACTGGTATTTCTTTTCCCCCTTTAAAACATACAGTACAGTGACCACCATGAAAACATACTGACCACAACTGTTGCTCTCTGCGAGGGATCAAATTGCGTATTATTATGCCTGAAATGATTGCATGTGTCAGACTCGGAAGATAGATTTTGGGTGGAGTATCACTTAAATATTTGGTTTCTAAGCTGCAGAGTACGTGATATTTTGTGACAGGTGTCTACTAGTCTTAACACAATTCTTGCCTTGAGGAATACAGAAAAAAAGTCAAGACTTTTTAGACCCCAGTTCTCGTTTCTCTTTACTTTATTAATTTTAATTATTGTGCTGCAAAATGGTTAAACAGACTTTTGTTGAGCCTCTTGATTTAATGAGTGTAAGCTCCTCTTGTTTGACCCATAGAGACCACTTAGCATTTCATAGATTATAGGCATTGAATACACAGAATTTCAAATGTGTTTGAGAGGTTTTTTTAATCAGCCCTTAATATATAAATGGATTCTCATTCATGTGAACTGGTATGGAAGTAAAATGAACGTGTCCTGTTTTGGTCCCTCAGTTCACCGTAAGATGATTTCATGTGAATCTCTCTTTATGAAAAATGAAGATGATTTTTAATTATCTTAATTAGAGTGGCAGATTTTGAACTCCATTTGATAAGAGTCACGTGTTAAAGTCAGTGAACCATTAAAGCATTCTGACAGAACAGTCCTCGAGGGTGGAGATCTCAGCTGCTTCACGGGGAATTGGTCTCATCATTTACTTTATTCTTTTGTTTGATTTGATTTCTTAAAAATTTCAGTTTCAATTTATTTTCTAATGTTTAATGTATTTCATTAAAAGGTTCATGTCCAAATTACAGAAAATAGGTTGTTAGTCATAATGATGGGAGAACACTTACAAGAACTACAAAGTAAAGTAAAAACATTTAAAAAAATCTATTTGACAGTAATAGGAAGCATTTAGTGTTCCAGTTTAAGAAGACTAGAGAATAACCTTTATTGAATGGTTAATATCTAAGTAAGCAAGATTTATAGATTATTGATCTATTATTAAACACCTAATGAGGTCTTATTCGAGAATGATATAGTATTAAAAGGCCTAATGACTCGAGTGTTATTGTTTTTGCTACTTTGTCGTTTTACTGGGGAAGTTGTACCTCGGAAAATTAGCGGTTTGGCTCAAGGCTCCCTGGACTACGTGTCACTGAGCCAAAGCATCCATATGTGTGATGGATAGGGGGAAAAGCCTGTAACATGGTTATTATAGAATAATAAAAGTATATATTATAACTATATCTACATGACTATTAAGTCATTATGATTATAGATTATAATGGACTAAAATGTAATGAATGAATGGTTCGGAATGTGACTTGTATTGTGATTACTGATCAAGTGTTATACAAGTAAAGCCCTTTTCCTTATTCCAGTCTGACATTAGTAGCATTCAGTTTCTTTTCAGATTAAGATTTTACATGGAACATGTTGTGCAATGGTCTGAAA